CCGGCTCTGGGAGGGGAGTGGGGGTGGTGGTTAGAGCAGGGGGGCTGGGCGCCAGGACTCCTGGGTTCTCTCCCTGGCTCTGTGGGGGGAGTGGGGGCTGGTGGGTTAGAGCACTCCCCGGCTCTGGGAGGGGAGTGGGGGCTGGTGGTTAGAGCAGGGGGGCTGGGAGCCAGGACTCCTGGGATCTCTCCCCGGGCATGAGACAAGCCAGGCCCAACCCTCCGTGTCCCTGTTTCCCGGCTGGTGAAAGGCCAGTGGGAGGGTCTCGTGCGGCCCCCAGTGGGGCAGGAGGCTTTGATTGGAGCCCAGATGGGGGCAGGGGATTTAATGGGCCAGTTTACACCATCATCCTGGCATAACCTGCCCTGGGGGGTGAGGGGCTGTGCCGGTGAAACCCAAATCAGTCCTGCCAGGTCTCCTCCTGGTGATGGTCCCCCCCATGTCCCTGTCTTACACAGGGGTGTCTTCTCGTGAGCCCCCCGCCACCCCCTCGGGAGCTCCCCCGTGGGGCTGGGCTTCCTGCACCCTTCACGAGTGGACTCCTCTCCCCGGGACCCCACACACACACAGGTAGCGCCGGTGACCCTTTGCTCGCCGCCAGGAGGCAAATCATTATTGGTGCATCCACCGTGTAATGTGTTCCCATAAATCAACCCGGCAGGGGCACCGGGGGATCAGCTGGGAACAGGCCAGGACAGGGGAGGGAGCAAAGCTGAGGCGTGTGTGTGTGGTGGGGGCGGGGGCTGTGTGTGAGCTAAACAACCCAACACCCGGTGCCACGCCCTGGGATACCAACACCGGGGCGGTGGAGCGCCCCATGCACCCTGCAGGCTCACACACAGGCTGTGCTCACAGATACACACACGGGCTGTGCGCACAGATACACACGCACACGGGCTGTGCGCACGGATACACGCAGGCTGTGCGCACGGATACACACGCACACGGGCTGTGCGCACGGATACACACGCACACGGGCTGTGCGCACGGATACACGCAGGCTGTGCGCACGGATACACACGCATGCGGGCTGTGCTCACAGATACACACACAGGCTGTGCGCACGGATACACACGCACACGGGCTGTGCGCACGGATACACACACACACGGGCTGTGCGCACGGATACACGCAGGCTGTGCGCACAGATACACACGCACACGGGCTGTGCGCACGGATACACGCAGGCTGTGCGCACGGATACACACGCACACGGGCTGTGCGCACGGATACACACGCACACGGGCTGTGCGCACGGATACACACAGGCTGTGCGCACGGATACACACGCATGCGGGCTGTGCGCACAGATACACACGCAGGCTGTATGCACGGATACACACGAGGGCTGTGCGTACGGATATACACACACACACGGTGTCTGCACGGACACACGCACGCAGGCTGTGCGCACAGATACACACGCATGCAGGCTGTGCGCACAGATACACACGCAGGCTGC